GTTTAAATGCACTACAAACTCATGGCTTATCCCTAAATTTCCAACTTTCACCTTAGCAGTATGGAGCTCGCACTCAGCTATTTACCATTAGCCTGACGATTAAGTTTTAAGAGGGTTAGAAACCTGAAGCATAGAGCATTTCGCATTGATTAATCACCTTTTGGGATACGCCACGCATTTCACTCGCGTTCAGAAACATGACGGCAGTTGAAAACGATTTGGCCTATGCAATGGACAGCCATAATTTAGGCCAATGTTTTCATCTATCCAGGCGATATAGGGGTCAGTCAGTCGATCCCGTGCAGATAAAAGGCTTTATATACCGTGATTGGGGATTCATTCCTATATCTGACCCTTGGGCTATGCATAAATCAATTTCTGGGTACCACTTTTGCCCTGGAAATTCCATACTTTAGGCCAAGATTTCCAGGGACTATAATGAGATCCACTGGGTCCAGCGCGACTTTGCGACTTGAAATGGTTAGTAATGACGAGCACTAGTCCATTAAGCAAGGCTAAATGGATTCAATCACAATGGGAATTTACGCTACCACTTAACCCAAACATCCCAAATAATCCTGTAATTTATCAATTCCCATTACTTCAGCTTTTCAATTGACAAGGGCATCGGCCCGTAGCAAAAGATCAGATTTAATAGTGGAGTATAGCAGAGAGACGCGGCTGTTCGGCAACGTGGAAAGGGCTAACAAATCTCTTCGAAGAAAGATTCTGAACTTCCGCATTGATGAATCTTGTCAATGATCGCATCAAACCCGATGTTGGACTAGAAAGATGGTTTACTTTTGGAGCCGAGCCAGAGAACTGGGATTTCCCTTCCATCAGCTTCAACATCGATTCGATCAATTCGTAGTGCGTCATTTCGCCTGCCACTCGTTGAGGTATATTACAACGCGCGCGCACTGAGTGTGTGTGCGAGAGGCATCCACGACAGCGCTTTGCCGCGATTTCTTCGACAACGTTCTGGGATTGCAACTCAGCAAGCTCTCAGCTAACAGGAGGGCCGATAGGACCGACCGTAGTCGGGAAATTTTCTCGAAATATGACAAAATCCAATGGTGTGACTGTGCACATTTCACCGACTGAATATTGAATTTTAAAAAATCACTGGATGCTGTATTTTCTGACAACGTCTGGGATTTACACATAACCGTCCAAACAGTGATAGGCATCCTCTAATCGGTCAGCCATCATTTGAAGGGATACAAACCGACGAGGAAATACCGAAGACTTTGAACCAGACCATGCAGCTCAGTGACTTGAGCTGAACTATGATGGCCCTAAGGAAATAGTGCTAAAAAAAGTGTTTCCGGAAAATTTTATCATCGACTGCGCCACCTCACAGCAATCCCTTAGGTGAACGCAACCGGATCCAAAAGGCTTTGAACACTCTCAGATGTTAGGCTAGAAAGTCCTGTAGGAAGTTCTGGACTGATTGGTCCAACTTTCAAAGCATTCGCTGCATGAAGTTCCCAGAACAGAGTTCATCTTACGAGTTCCTAAGCTGACGTTCGCATAGGTACCAAGTAGGTGTTGTGGGAAAGGACCCTGAACTTCCATGGGCTGGAATCAACTGTTCAATTTTAAGGATGTATTCCTTGAAATCTAGAAAGCCAGATTATAGCTTCTTAAGCCGTCGGGCCATGCCTCCAGGGGCTAGGGCTAACATATCTTGGGGGTCCCTTTTTGGGAAAATTCCCACTCCAGTGCGGCAAACAACATGGGAGGCCAGCCGCCCCCTTCCTGAAATCACAAATGCGACCCCGTCATTTAAATAGTGCGAATGAACGGCTGATCCTCGTTAGAATTTGGGTTCTAAAGCCACGTTTTCTTCCAGCTGAACGGTTTTATCTGCTTTCCGCAGCTATCACCGGGCCCACTGGAAAGTGGAAATAGCGGATGGAGTGTAGGAGAAGGGTCAAAATAAATATGTACTTCCTTTGTGGAAGCGACTTTCAGCATAGCACGACTTTAGGAGGACCCTTTTTGAAGCTCTTCCCTAACCAAAAAGGGGCTTCCTATACCGACCTACACAACGGGTAAACCTAACAAGCACAGATCCTTTACATATCCTTATACGCCCAAAGCAAGAAAACCTCAGCGGGTTTGGAAACTCATGACTCAGAAAGAAATTCACAATTTGGCCATGGAGGGGCTAAAAGGGAGGATTCTTCTCCAGAAATAGGTCTCATAAGGGTCACAAGGCATCAGTTCCTTGATGCCCTTGTGTTCAGTCAATGTGCTGCAGCTTGCGAACTCTGAACGGAGTGATCTAATCTTCAGTGCTGATGTAAGCGCTGACGATGTCCGCCCACGCAATGGTGCTCATCGGCAATGGCATAGGCGATCGATCAGCAAAATCGTTGAGCGTTTTTCGTGGAGAGAAAACTCAAGATCCGGCAAGCGCTTGAGATTTATTTGCCATGCAGACGGTGAGCGCGGGCGATGAGAGGAGGCCGAAGATAAGTGTGCATACGGCGAGGCTTTCGAGGAATACGCTAAGATACTGTTGAGGTTCAAGAGGTGCTAGAAGAACGAAACCGGACTGAGGACGGAATGACTGAATAACTACTGACTGTACATAACAATGCAGCATGTACACAGCGCCAGCATGAAAATGTACGTGAAAATTGCCTTGAAAAATGGAATATCTTGCAAGGAAATTACAGTAAGAAAGGAGATTTACCTTTTCCTTGGACAGTTGCTCGAAGATCGGCAGCCATTCCTCAAAGGTAATGCGCTTTTCGCCTTTACGCTTGAACTCCTGTCCCGAAGCCTAAACACAGCAGATCGGTTGTAAACGATCAGAGGAAAGTTGCAAGAGAAAATTCGACTTAGAAAAGATAGATATTGATTGACAAAACTGTGCTAGCATACCTTGACGACCATGGCATTGGTCGGCTTGAGTCCAGCAGCCCGGACGACGTCCCCGATTTGGGTGCCGTCGATCTTGCCATCGAGTTCCTCATCATAGAGGTTGAAGATCTCCTTGAGCTGATCTGTAAGTATACAGGATTCAGATAACATAAACGGGTCCTGCGACGAAATCCATGAATCGACATGAAACGGACGAACCCTGAGACGGCATGTTGAACGTGCGGTGCTACGCGACTAGAATCCCACTCGGCTAACGCGCAGTGTACAGCGAGAAGTTGCTGCGCTACGCCCCAGAGCGGCTATTTTTATTCCTGAGGAGGAGCGAGCCCGGATGTAATACGACCTCAGAGAGCATTCACTCGGAGGATACGCAGCATAGGCGGGCTCCCAGAGTTTACCGAGAAAACGGAGGCCGACGAGGACGAGTGCCAATGGCAGGATACGGTATCCACGAGGGAGGAGGCAGAGATATTTGTCGTACCCTCGAAACTCGGGCCCAATGCGCGCGCACTCCCGTACCGATGTAACACACTTTCGCATGCTGGACCCGGCTTGATCTAGTAATTCGCCAAGGGCAAAAAAAACAATTGCCAGTCATTAGTGCAGTGCGGTGTGCCGCTTTCTGGTCCCTCACTGTGGCTCTGTTTGGAGGGGTCTTCAACAATCTGATGAAAATCGACTTCTTATCACGAAAAAGCTATTTTTGGGGCCGACCTTATCTTGGCTGATAAGAGCAGTAATGTCTTCCGTTCCGCGACCTGTGCTATTGACCAAATGGCCATTTCGAGGCAATGAGAACTGGAAGTCGTAAGGGAACAGGGGGGGGGAGGGCAACCGGAGATTGTACAATCTAACTGCGATGTTCTATTCTTTCCTACACTTTATGGGTTGCGCCATGCCTTTGACTAGTTAAAGTCGTGGCTACTCTTATAAGCGGTTAAAAAGGTTTCAGGTTGGCATGCGGTAGGACGTGCGCTGGCGTTACAATGGTCCATTAGTAGAGTACTGTCAAAGAAGGGCTTCACTGGAAGGAATGGTACAGACAGGTTCAGGTTAGGTTGAAAGATGCACAAATCAGCAAAGGAGGCTAATTGATGGTGAGTTC